GCTCCCAAAGTTTCAGTCTTCTAGCTTTTCTGGTTCTCGAGTCGAAGGTGGGTGGCAAAAAGTGTGAACACACAGACACACACGCACACAGACACACACACGCAGAGCCTCTTCTCAAAATGCGTTTTTGCGATTTGCACATATGCAAAAACACATAAAAATAGACGTCAAATTGACAAATGGAAAATAAATCCGCCAAAATTTAAATTATAATTGTGTTTATGATGTTAGTGCGTAAAAGAGAAACCTTGCATCGAAATATGTGAAGGCAGCACCGCGATCGCCTTTGTTACATCCGGGATCATTTTTAGGCCCAAATTCTCCGCTCATTACTTCACAAGCACTATGTACAAGAGTTGGCACACTCAGGACCCGAAGTTTCCATTCAGTTGGTAAGTAAGTCGAGCCCTGCAAATAATACGGTCATTATCAGACGGGTTTCCTTGGAATATCTACAGCAGCTGTAATTTATTAAGTGATTTTACAGTTATGCAACTGGCTACTTTATCAGTTATTTGACCAATGCTTTATCGTCTGGCTGCCAGCTTACTGGTAATTTTGACTTGCACTTTGTCTTTTGAAGAGATAGCAGTTCACGGCTCCTACAACAGAAGCATTTCGCAAGGCTTTAGCAGTTTTTGTGTGTTCTTGGCGTTTGCTGTGTAATACGATCTTGTCTTGTATGACAGTACTATTTTCAAAAGAACATGTAAAAATGACAATGGAGCTGTCCCATCGTGCATAAAAACCGCACAAGGACGACAAGGCTTTGCAGTTTTTTAGCGGAAAAGGAAAAAGAATACGTACCATAAGCATTAAGTCACTCATTAAAAGGGTTGCTCTAAGCGATGTTGGATCATCTAGATCGCGCAAAATAAACCGAGAGAGAGCCTGCAACAAGTAATTATTGAATCTATACAGCCTGCATTTTTATGCGTTTTTTTTTTCTTTTTTTGCATCTATGCAGTGCAGGAAACGCATATTGACGAGGGGTTGTCTGTGTGTACGTGTTTGTGTGTGCGTTTGTACTGATTTTTCATTCCGAGACCTACAAAAAACACAGGGCTGAAACTTTGGGAACTTGATTTACATGCACATGGGTCTTATCCCCATACTCACGCGGTTCCCATGCAGGGGCTTGCCGAAGTTTTTTCCGGGTTAGCTGCTAACTCGGGAAACTGAAAAGCTAGAAGGCTGGAATTTCAAGGGGATGCCCCCATCCACTTAGGTTTTAATGAGCTCAAACCTAGCTCCCAGGTACGCGTGGTCCCAATGTATAAGCTCGTGAAAGTTTTTTGCGAATGAATTGCTAACTCGGGAACCAAGACGGCTAGAAAGCTGAAATTTTAGTGGGATGTTTCCTGATAGCCCTGGCGTCCAGTCTCAATTCTTTTAGCTAGAAGCATCTGCCGGAAAAAACAGTGCGTTAGCGGCAAAAATCTGCGGGAAACTGTGCAAAAAACGCATCTTCGCACCGGCATTCAGTGCGCTGGCCATCCATTATGCTCTTGTGTTCCCTCATATTTTTCAGAAGTGATGCTCAACGTACAACAAACACATCTCGAAACGATTAAAATCCTGCCAAATGTTTCTTAGGAAGGCACCGCTGAGGTGATAAAAAAGTGTATGAACGCCAGCATCACTGACAGAATGATCAAATAATACGGATCAAAACATCTTGGAAAGCTACCAGCCACATGGCTAGGGGCCTACATTATGCATTAGGACTGATCCAAGCATAAGCATGTCTTTCAAAACTACATCTTGAAGAGTTACTTGGTGTCTTGTTTAATCTTCACAAATCCTTAATCTGAAAACAGTCCCACTTCGTGTGATTTTTTGGAATTTTTAGAAAATCCAGAATTTTTCCCGATTATTTAATAATTTTTAATTCTTTTCGAATAATTCAAGCTACCTGAATTATTCCGGCACTGACAAGCATATAAGTGACAACGGCACGAAATGAAACCAGCAGATCACTTAAAATCGAGTCGTGCTAAAATGACGAATGTACCGCACAGAAAAGCAGACAGAAACGGAAAAAAATGTCTAAAAACAAAAAAAGCTCAGTAATTTCATGAACCCTTAGAAGAGGAAGTCATCAACAGCACTGTTGCTTTTAGGTACGGGTTTCGAGTGCCTACTCAAGCTATTTCCGAGTGCCTCCGTTGTTCGCAAAGAACTAATTACTGAGGAACGAATTACTTTTGCATCAATTTTCCAACAACAATGAAAATTACCGGTAGAAAATCTTGCGTTTACACACGTAAAATTTGCAAAACAGAAATATTTCTTCTAATTTCAATGTTTATATTTCGATCGTATCGAGTGCTAACAGCAAAAGTCACTGAGATCTTAGTCAGTGAAAGTGATCCTTTACCCATGCTGGAAAAACTGGAAAAAAATTGCTGGAAAAATCCCAAAAATTCGAAGACCAAAAAGGCGAAAATAATGCAAAAGCACTCGAAAAAGTTGAAAAATATCAGAAGTCCTCAAAAGTGATTACTTCTTTCGCCCTTAGCAGCACTTCATGTTCCGTTAATACAAATTCATCACGCAACGAACATTTGTAAGCATCTGGATGATGCATGGTGGCTGCAAACAGTTACGCATCAAAAAGATAATTTTTCGAATTAGCGCAGAGGTAAAAAAAAAACTGTAAAAATCATTGCAGTTTTATCTTAGATTTGAAAAGTTGGCAGGCATGGTGCAGCACAAGTGATGTTCTCGCGCAGAAAATCGAAGGTTCGATTACGCCAGAAGGAAACCAATCCCTCTAGGATCCGTACATTGGTGCAAGGAAATCAAACTTGCCATCAGATTGCTTCTAAGCAACCCATCGACAGTCATGCCACTGGATAGCTATCCGTCTTAGCAGCTGCTACTAATCAAGCTATTTCTGAATGTCTTCACCTCTTGCACAAAGTGAACAAAGAGGAAGTTCCGAGTTTGCTTAAACTGAAATAACTTCTAGTGAAAACAGTAACAGAGTGCAAAAGGAGGATAATTTTCCTTTGCCATTTCGTAACTTACAGTAAAATTTCACAGCTTCAGGCCACGAGCGAAAATTATGGCTGGCGTATGAAAGATCCAACAATTCACAAAAACAATCGATCAGCGCATCGCAGACTTCGTGCCTCCTCAAATTCACGTTTCGGCTAAGCGCCGTGATGTCAACAAACCTACGAAACATGCTAAACTGTATGATTATAAACTTCACCGACAACACTGTTTTTTAGCAATCCAAACATTTAAAAGAAGAACTTAGTCGAAAGCGCACCGGCTGCCGGCGCGAAGATGCGTTTTTTGAACCGGTTCCCCTGCAAGTTTTTGTTGCTAATGGCACTGTTTTTTTCAGCAGATGCTTCCAGCTAAGAGAACTCAAAGCAGCCAACACGACTGTCAAAAATTATTTCAGTGACTCCAACCATGCCTCAAAAAATTCAGCACTCTAACTGCTTTGGTTAAAGAATTACGTCAAATTTCAAGCGTTCGTACGTGAGTGGCAACGTGACTGCTTCCTTAGCATACGATTGCTTAAACACGGTCCTACGCAGCGCTCAGAAAATTTCGGTGTTCTAGCTGTTTTGATTGCGAAGTTACGCCAAATTTCACGTGTGTGTACGTGAGACTTACGTGGGACGTGAAAGTGATGTGCAGTTCGTTTTTACGTCCATCTGGTCAAAGG